GGCTATGGGTAACTTTCCTAACAATCTGTAGTGGCTTCAAAACATCACTTGGGATTCAACAACGTCTAACTATTTTTGAGTTATTTCCACATTTAATAATGTGCTATACACCTAGGATGATATCTCAAAGTCATAATCCTCTAGGATTGATAAATTGACATCTTGACATTGAACTATGAAATTCAAGTTCAAAATCATTAGATTTTCGTGGCAGATGTTTGAACCACATCATTCACACATTACGTAAGATCTCACGGTATTTTATTTGCAGACGATCAATTCCATGATTTGTTTTGTCTTTCAACCAATATTTTTTTGTGGTTGATTTACACATTAAACCATATACGTTCTTTGTAAAATTATGATGTCCACCATAGAAAATGTTTTAAACAGCAAATGCGTGTGGAAAGGCCTATTAATGAATGAATTACAGACGTACTACTAACATCTAAACACACAAAAAGTGAACTCACCATGGAACACCCAATGTGACTAAATATGCAAATATGTGATGTATAAGTCCAAGCATTCTATGCTCAGAACGACCTATCCTGCTCGGATTGCCCTTGGGGAAAATTATGTTCACCATGCAGGGAACATAACACATGTACAGTCTCGTGTACTTATAACTACCCCTACAACATTGATTATTGGCACATGGGGAGAGAGGGGGGGGGGGGTAATCATCATTTTCATGTTTGAAATTACTAATATATTATAATACATCATATAGTCAATCATGAAGTGAATGAGTATTGATGAAACACTCTTGACAAAATACATACCTTGAATTTCCTGAGTCTGTAAAACAAACAAATAATATACGCTGCATTATAGTTTTAATATTCAATATATTTAATATTAAAGAGTATACTATTAAGAGCAATGATTGATAGTGTGCCATTGTGGCAGGAAAATGTACACAGACAATGTGTAACGCAGTATTGGAGTATGGTATCTGTGCCAAAATTCATTACATGTACCACCAATATTTTTTTTCTGTGATAAAATAAATTCCCCTTTGGGTAATTTGAAATTTAATACAGTGTCGTGTTTCCCTTTTTACTAAAATTCAATGTCTAGCCTTGCGGGCTTAAATTGAATAAAGCCCTGTGCCGTGTGGTTACTTATCGGGATTTGTGGTGGTGTGACAGTTGAAAAATTGAACTAAATCGATCAACACTGAGGACACATTGTGTTTCAAAATATTGCCTAAATTGTGGTATAATGGTTGAGAAACTTAAAATAGAATGGGTGACCAAAACAATGGCGCATCGCCATACTTTTCAATTATAGGAGTACTCCCTATTTGACACATCTAGAAAATCAAGCA